AATGAGGGTGGGAACTTTACTGGATTCTACATAAAATGGAGCTGGTGTTTTATAGCAGATTGTTGTATTCTCATTCCAGCATCCATTTAGTCTGATACCTAAATTATGAATTATATTGGATGTCAACCAAACAGGAACTGTCCTGCCAGCATTCAGACTGATTGAAATAGAAGCCTATGAGCATTTGGGGAGGAAATTGAGAGGGGAATGATTTTTAAAGGACTTTTATTCTCCAGTGAGAGCAGCACAGGGCCCTTGCAGATAAGTTTGAATTAAGGTTAGTAGGAATTGCTGGCAAGTGGTGAAAATAGGAAGTAAGAGTAAGAGAATGTATAAGGCTGTAAAAAAGAAAAGTGTTTGAGATTATAGATTTAATTCTACTAATTTTTCTGGAGTAACAGCAGCTACTCATCAAGAAGTATCAACTTGTAATAAATTTTCATATGTTTTCTTTTACATGGCTATTGATTTTATTACAATTATTCTTTTACAGCTGGGCTATTGTTAGCTGTAAGTTCTGTTTTGATCTCTGGGGGAAAGCGGTGGATGTGATATATCTTGACTTTAGCAAAGCTTTTGATACATTCTCCCACAGTACTCTTGCCAGGAAGTTAAAGAAGTATGGATTGGATGAATGGACTATAAGGTGGACAGAAAGCTGGCTAGATTGTTGGGCTCAGCGGGTAGTGATCAACGGTTCGATATCTAGTTTGCAGCCGGTATCAAGCGGAGTGCCCCAGGGGTCGGTCCTGGGGCCAGTTTTGTTCAACATCTTTATTAATGATCTGGATGAGGGGATGAATTGCACCCTCAGCAAGTTCGCAGATGACACTAAATTGGGGGGAGAGGTAGATATGCTGGAGAGTAGGGATACTGTCCAGAGTGATCACTTCTCTTGATCTGTTGGCAATGCTCCTACTAATACAGCCCAATATGCTGTTTGCCTTCTTGGCAACAAGGGCACATAACTGACTCATATCCAGGTTCTCATTCACTGTAATCCCCAGGTCCTTTTCTGCAAAACTGCTGCTTAGCCAGTCGGTCCCCAGCCGGTAGCAGTGCATGGGATTCTTCCTTCCCAAGTGCAGGACTCTGCACTTGTCCTTGTTGAAACTCATCAGATATCTTTTGGACAGATTGGAGGATTGAGATTGAGTCCTCCATCCTTAGAGGTTTTTAAGGTCCAGCTTGACAAAGCCCTGGCTGGGATGATTTAGTTGGTATTGGTCCTGCTTTGAGCAGGGGATTGGACTAGATGACCTCCTGAGGTCTCTTCCAACCCTAATATTCTATGATTCTAACTGTTTTGCTGACTAGCAGCAAGAGAAGTGCTCAAAGTGAACCTGACTTGGGCCTCTCTGATCCTGAGGTGGATAAAAACATTTGGAAGCATCTGCATTAAATTCTAAATATGTCACTTGTAGACATTGAGTAGGTTATCACATTTTAATTAGATACATTATTGTTGTTTACTCAGAAAAGTAATGAAATATATTTAGATATGCTTTTCCAGTAGTCCCAACAATTCCCATTCCTAATTATTTGTGGGATGATGGGATTTTGCCATACACTTATAACCAATGTTTGCTATACAGTTTAAATAACGAGTGTTGAAAAAAATTCTCATTGAAACCAAACACCATTATGACTCTCAAATACTATGGTAATAGACACCATAAAATAGATTAATCACCAAAGTAAAATACTTAGAGACTCTGTTAAAGCTATTAATTTTAAGCTTACTAATGACAATTGTATGTTAAAATAGAGTGGGTAGCTTTGTTTTGATTTGCATATCACTCTATCTGCAGGTCAAACTAGCTATTCTGCTTGTAACATACAAGAATCACTGCACTCTCAAATGCTTCAAGAACAGCGCCAGTGAGTGTTTGATATGCTCTTGTGGCACTTCCACTATGAGTAAACTTCACAAAGAAAATTTCAGCACTCCGGCTTGATGGTAGGTTGCTCAGAAGAGAAACTGGCACTTTCACACAGTTGCCGCCTACCTCATTAATTTGAAGGAACAATATATTTTTTCTGTTTGGGGGGGGGGGGGGGTTCTGAGGCATATTTAAAACTAATATTTTTAGGGAGTAGGAAATTACATTTTCATCCTGTCAGTTTAAACAACATCTTGTCTTTTTAAGGACTAACTCCATGTGCACTGAAAACCAAGGAGAAGCTGCGATTTGGAGCTACCTCCAGTTGCTCCAACACTCTAAACAGAATCCTCTACACTGGCCACAAAAGCATTTCATTAAGCTGGGAGCATATGGGATCAGGCCCCAAGACTCTAATTTGTTTTCTTTTACAGCTCCTTGTATTGGTAAAGACCTGTATGTAGAAACTGACTAGGTTTAGTAAATTTCCCTCTGAATCCACAGAGGACTTAAGCAGTCAGTTTTACCTAAAACTAGCCTGTAAATTACAAGGACTGTGTTAGTTCACTTTAGGCCCCAAATGTAGGTTTTGTAAAAAAAAATAAGCTTTTAAATAAATTTTCATTTGCTTAAATTTCAAAAAATTAGAAATAAACATTACTCTGTAGTGTTTGCAACTTAAAAGGTGCAAACTTGTGCTAGTGTTTGAAAATCTGCAACTTGAAAATTTTTAAACATTTATAATGTTAACAATGTTTACATCACATAACACAGTAGTGAAGAATATAAATTGTATTTGGAAAGCAAATCCATTGAACAGTTCTACATTGCTGAAATTATTATGTGTAATTAACAAGTATTATTTGTTAAGCATCTGTGGTATGCTCAATGTTATGGTAAACACAAATAACGTCAGTCCTTGCTGCAAGGACCTCATAGTTTAAAAGTCAGGCTCCTATAAGACAAAATTCATTAGGGGACCCAAAGAAAATTAAAACATTACACTGTTTTTCTTTCTCTGTTCTTCTCTTACATAATGGTGATGTAAAGAGGACATTTGGCTGATGCTGATTAGCATAGAGACGAGTGACAAGAGTGGCCTTGCCAAAGAAATTACAACCAAATTTTAAAAAGTATTTAGGCATCAAACTCCCATTGAAATCAATAGAAGTCAGGTGCCTAAAAGTCCCCTGTGAGCCTAAGTTTCTGCTGGTCAGCATTCACAAAGCTGCCTGAAGTCCCAATGCCACCATCCCCAGCTACCAAGCAGCTCGGTGTTCTAGCTCAAGCTGAAACTTTGGAGGCCCTGAAGCAGGATTCTCAAACTAGGCAGCGGAATGCCTATCTTGTCAACAGGGCACAATCCTGTAGGTGTTCTCTGAGCATGCCTAAAACTGGTCAGACCCTGAAGCAAGCAGCCTGGATACAGGCCACAAATGTAGCACACCACCCACCCATCCACCCAAACAACAGCCAAAAGCTCAGGGAAGTGTAGTGCAAGTGTAAGAGGTATCTCAACTATGAGAACAAGACAGATTCGGCTACAAGAGCATAGGCTACTTAAGCGGCAGACCTGGCTTAGGAGAAGGTTTATAGATGAAGATTCCAAGCAGAGGGAGGTGCCTACCTCTGGCCTGTGCATCAGGCCAGCTGTTTAAACACCCTAAGTCCCTCTCCCTGGCATTTCACTCCTGGCTAGTTTAGGCAACTCCCTAGTCAACGTGCTACCTTCTGAAGATCCCTTTCTTATGTGACCAACTCTTCCTACACATTGTATGGGGAGCCTAGGCTGCTAGTCCAGGGCTGAGGATTTCACTTGGTGTCAGGTGGAGCAACACCTAAATACCACTGAGGATGTGGGCTGAAGTTATTGTGGTGAATTGGGGAAAGCCATGAGGATTTGGTTTAGATTATATAGGGCCCCTACTGAAGATATTTGTTAGCAAAGTTTTTAATTTGGGGATCTTGCTAGATTCCTAGCTGCTTTTAGATGATGACAGCAGCAGCATGTACTTCTGGCTCCTATTAGAAAGTCCAACCTTTCCTCTGTGACCTGCCTACTATAATCCATGGAACTAATCTTGTTATACAATAGCTGGGTGGTATACTGGAAGGATTCCTGCACTGGTGTATGAATAGTCACAGATTGAAATCCCTGGCAGGTCTCTTGAATAAGTAATCAACATTCTTTGGCCTTTAAGCTTTTAATCATTAGGATACTTTACTGAGAAATGTGGTGCATTCTCTATCAGTTGACGTCTTTAAATCATGACTGGATGTCTTTCTAAACAATATGCTATCATCAGAAATTATGGTTTGATGCAGATATTTCTGAATGAAATTCTAAATCCTGTTAAATGTAAAACAGACTAAATGATCATAATGGTCCCTCCCAGCCTTGACAATCTATAGTTTTGCCAGGGTTAAAATGGATTATTGCAATGTCCTCCACATTGGGCCATAACTTAAATCCATCCATTAAATGAATTTGGTGCAGAGTCTGGCAATCTACTTCTATAGCTGGTTATGCCACATTACAATCCCCTTTATAGGTACCTGCACCTTTCACCTGTTGGTTTACCAAGTTAAGGTGTTGATGCTGTATGAACCCTAGTGGCCTTAGTCCTGCCTTTGCCAGAGATGGCCTCTCACCCCAAGGGGACTGGTGGCTGCTAGTAGGGGCACTAGGCTTTGAAGCCTGCCCGCATCTCGCTGCCCAGAGGTGGCCGTACAGCTTCCCTGCTGGTCTGTGTGTCCTGTGGAAGGGAGGTCAGGGCTCGGGGGAGACTGAGAGCAATGCCCAGGTGCGAGGGGGCGGAGCTGGGGGTACTCAGGTGCGGGGGGGGAGAGCTGTACATCTGTATAGTGACCAGGGCCCCGAGACCCCGTAACAATAGCGGGCGACGCCTGGCGGGCACGGCAGGAAGGTATCGGCCGAGAGCCGAGCCCAGCCGGGCCGGGGGGCGGGAGCTGGGCGCGGCCCCTCCCCGAGCACTGCTGCGGCCGCTGGCCGCTCCCCGCCGGTGTGGCTCGCTCCTCACCATGGTTGCAGCAGCACAAAGCCGCCAGCGCAGGAGGCCGCTCCCCCCCTGAGAGCCCGGCCCCGCCCGCGCCGAGCCAGCCACCTCCCCGCGCCCAGCCGGGAGCGCAGCCCCGCAGCCCCCGGCAGCCCGGATGGGAGGCGCCGGCGGGGATGCAGCAGCCGCGGAGCGGGACGGCGGAGCCCAGTAGAGTAGGAGCCGGGAGCCGCCGCCAGGCGCCAGGACCTCGGGAGCCCCCGGGCCGCTCTCCCCGCTGCCGGCCGGGCTTGTCCGGGCGGCGGCGCTGCTGAGTCCCGGCGTTTCACCCCAGCGGCCGCGAGCCCGGAGCCGGGCCGGAGCAGCTAGAGGCCGCGCCCGCCGCGCAGCGACAGGAGCCGGGACCCCGGCGGGACCGAGCCCCGCTCCCCAGCCGCGCGCCTTCGGGGCCGGGGCTCGGCGCAGCTTCCAACCCCACTCCGCACCCAGCAGGAGCCGCGGCCGGAGCCCAGGCAGGAGGCGGCGGGGCCGGGGCGCTGCAGCCCGGGGCAGAGAAGGGGCGAGATGGCGTCGTACGTGGATAACAGCTTCCGCCAGGCGGTGATGAAGAACCCGGCGGAGAGGAGCCCCCAGGTACCCCTTTGCTCCTCCCTCCCCTTGTTCCTCCCTCCCAGCGGCCCGGAGAGGAGCCCCCGGTACCCCCTGTCCGCCCCTGCTCCAGCTCTCCCGCGTACTGCCCCAGAGGGGAGCCCCCCGCGCCCGGGAGCTACCCCGTACAGTACCCTCCCAGGTATCTACTCACCGCTGCCCCAGAGAAGAGCCCCTACATCCTTTGTTTATTCTCTCCCCTTTCAAGAGGAGCCTTATCGCGGGTGCCTACCCCCATTTTTTCCCCTGTCCAAGACCCCCAAGGTACAGGCAGGCACGACTTGATCTATGCCCCCTGGGTACTGCACATAGGGGCAACAGGTAACTATTTCCCTATACGTGCTTCCAGGTACCAGAGTGCAGTTTTCCGTATTCACCCTCCACTCACCCCGACCAGAGCCCCCAGATAACGAGTCCTCCTATAACGAGCCAACATTTCCTATAGCTACTTCTTGTTTATCTCTTGTTTGTCTCTCACACATATCACAAACATATCATCTGTTTCCAGTACTCCTTTCTCTATCTGTAGTATGCTCACTAGCTAATCTGTTTTCAGACATCTCTAATCCCCTTTCCCACTCACGGGCTGGAGGAACAATCCTATTCACAACCAGCTCTAGTTTTAGGATTTCTCTTCCTCTCCCTCCCCCCCAAGTAGTGTTATTACTTTTTGGGGGCTCACATCCCCTTAATCTGTCCTTCCATTCCCACCATCTCTATCTTTGCCTAAAATTGGGCAGAGAACCCATCTGTGTGGTCAGACAGCAGCAGAGGAGAAAGGGGGGGCACCTCTTTGGCTGTGAGTTTCATAAATCCTGAAAGCTGACTCTGTGGGAAACACTCAGATTTAGTAACTGCTGCTATGTTTTCCTCTCTTCCTTTTGAAAAGTGTTTGTTTTAAAAGAAAACACTATCGTGTTAATAGAAACTTTGAATACCATAGTGTGCATAGGAGTGCATGATACAACATATTCACTGTTATACAAACTTTACTCAGCCAAAATATTGATGTATAGGATTGCTAGCTCATGGACGGAGAAAAAAATATTTTGAATACATTTTTTTTTCATATTGCACAACTGAGTGGCCTTTTATATTGTTGGCCATTGATTAACTGAGGTTATGTATCTGTTCCCAATACAACACAAGTACAGTAGTTTAATTCTGGAATTGAATTAACTTTGTACATCTATAGCTCATTACAGCATTACTGGCCCATACATTTATCAGAGAGGTGAGTGTGGTATTTTTGGCAAATCTCTGCCTCCCCAAAATAGGGTGAAATTCTTGCACAGTAGTATGGGAGAAGGATTTTTGAAATACTTGAATCAGGCTTTACTTGGGGGTGGGGTTGTGTATGTGTGGGATAAATAAAAATTGATGCAGTCATTTGCTCCTGCAGGATTGAAAGCACACAGTGCTTTATAAACATTAGAGACAGAAGGGGAAGAAAATGTGTAAAAATGTTTTGACTGTTAGTTGTTGTTTTTTTGAATCACATCAAGGTGAGTGAGTTCTTTCTGCTTTGGAGTGGTGACTGGATGCTATTGCTGCCAACCATCTAAACACAAATAAGCTTTATGCTGATCCCTATGTCAAGCTGTAGTTCAGTAGCTAATGATTCAAGGAGTTACTTTGCTCATTAGTTGCAGTGCCATCTGTCCTGTTTTCTAAAGATTTGTCCTGTTTCTCTCAGATCTCAGCGTGTCCTGATCTTAGTGAGGGGCTTTATTTTTAATTACCATGGTTACTTATGATTTTGCCAGATTTCTGATTGGCTGTTGACATTTTAAATTGGGGGCGAGGAAAGAACTTTGACTTTTAGGCAGCATCCAGAATTCCTTCCTCCTACTTCAGATAAGTCATTGTGGATACACTATTTTTCATCCTGGTGTTTGTGACAGTTAGATCACATATAGAAAAGTATGGCACATATGTATATGTATCACAGTTAGAAAAGATGCTCCTGCTTTTATGAAAAAACATAAAGAAAATTATTTCATTCTAGAACAAATTCCTTTTATTATGTTGAAGCTAAAGTTGTGTTCCTGTGTCCTTGCTTGACCTTTCCAAATGTCTATTATAGTACTGCCATAAATGTTGGCACCAGTTTGAAACCCTCTAGGTATCAGTAGCACATAGTTACTGAAAAGTTAGATTTGGAGACAGAGTGCTGTTATTTCAGAAGGATACTATTTGTTAACGTAGCAAGATCCCTTGTTCTGGGAGAATCTTAAATTCCAGTAATGGGAGTCAGACAGGGATGTCAGAGATCTTGGGAGAAGATTATAAAAAGACTGTCAGTTGGTCAGCAGCAGGGATATTGGCAGTTGCTCAGAAATCAGTCGGTCAGGTAGTGGGCCTTCAAACCAGCCTGTGAGAGACAAAACTTCCACTGTGACAGTTGTATATCTGTGCCAAATAAAGTGAACTGTTAAACTTTCCTGTGTCCCTGCCAATCTGTTTAAAAAAAAGAAGAAGAAGAAAAAAAAGAAATGACGCAGTGAAGACACTAGCATGAATGCAGGGGGTAGAGCCAATGTGAAAAAAACAGTGTAGAAAGCTAAATCCAGAACACCAGGATTGTATTAACACTGCAAAACTTCAGATATCAGTACACCAAAAGCCTACTGTAGCAGTATACACAGAAAGAAACCCTAAATCCATTAGGCTCTGACTGGCCAAAATAGTCAACAAATAAGACCAGATCTATGGGAAACATGCTGCATTGGCAGTGCTGGAAGTCTTTGAGGCTGGTGATCAAATGTGCTTATTATTGCTTCTGGGGAGAAGGCTCGAAAGAGGAAAATTCCTTTGTTTTTTAGAATGTTTAATGTATATATATTTTTTGAGATTTAGATGTTTAAACTCATTTTCTTTAACAGTAGTTGTGAGGGAAAGGCTTGTATTTTGAAAATATACACCTTCATTTTCATCTGTGTTTTTCTGAATTGAGTGGATTGAGCTTTTTATTTTTTTTTTAAATCATTTAAATTTCCTTTTTCTTTCTGAGAAGGAAATACTTCAGTTTAATCTTAGGGCAGACAGTGTGGTGGTGAGTAAGCTTCTTTCTTAAATACTTTGCAGTTAACAAGCAAAACTTTGAAAAGCAGTATTTTTATCAAGCCATAAAGGCCTTGGTCTTTTGCTTTTTGTCTTCCCTAAATAATAAGCCAGATTTTCCCAGAAAGGTAGTCATTTCATTTTGTTTTGAGGAATCTTCAGATATCCGTAAGTGGCATGATTCTGACTGTTACGAAAAAGGGTTGGGAGGAGAATGTATACTCTTATATTGACAGAAATGTGCATGTAAGAGAATGTGCATAGTCAAGGAAGCATCTGTTGGTCATGTTTCTTTGTTCCCTTCACTGCTTATTGAATATATTTGTGTTTTAACAAGCACTTTCTCTATATGTGACCAGCTTCTCATCCTTATTCTGTGACGTCTGTAATTCTGCATTTGACATTAGTGTTTTGCCCTCAATTGTGATGTAAATTTACTGTAATGACTTCATTGTGAGTTGAAATGAGAACAGAGGACTGACTGCAGGATAGGAAGCCCTTGTTTGAATACACAGCTTTGATAACTATTAAATATGATTAAATTACGAAGGGGAGGAATCAGTGAAATCTTGTTAGAACTTTTTCCCAATGCAGAAGTCCTTTTCTAATTTGGACAGATTTTACAAGGTCCTCTCAGAGCATTGCTTCAGAGATTATTGCAGAAAAATCTTTCACTTAATATTGTGCAGGAGTGTCCTTGTTTACACAGTGGATATTGAAAGCCTACCTGAACTATTCTAGTCAATGGAGCATTGTATACTAGTTCACAAAAAAGCTTAGAAAATAATAAAACCCAAAATGCATATGGCCAGTTGTTTTACATGTGCATTATTCATTGTGTGTATTGTATAACAGAACTCTTCTCTTATGTAATTGCTTTATTAAGCTATTCATGTTGTTTTCTTTGAAGGCTTAAATAGATAGTTTGGTCACCAAACAAGTTAGTTAAACCTCTAAATGTTAATAAATTACAAACAGATTTATGCCCCCAAGCTTTATGTAATAAAGTGATTTTTTTTTCAAAACTGTTTTTATATTTGTAGTTAAGTAAAAATAGTTGAGTGAAATATTATGCTGTCTGCAGCTTACTGTGAAGAATAAAAGTCGTCTTTAAAAAGAACTTGAAACCTAAACTACTTGCTTTTTACATTACCATTTCTATATGATACATGAACTGATGAGTAGAGTGGTCAGATGTAAATTGTTAATTTTTGCATAATTGTACTTAAATCACCTACAGTAAGATTAGAGCTGTGGGAAGAACTTGATACAAATAGTTCCTAGACCCATTGACAAGTTGCTAAAGCACTCTTTTGGAATTTGTCAGTCTGGTACGTTCAACAAATTCAGTACTAGAATAATTAGTAGCAGAGGAGTGGCATTAGCAATATGCTTTATGTTGAAAGGGGAGGGCTATCTAGTTACCCATAGCTCAATACCAGTGACATCTGTTAATGTCAGAGTACCTCAAGAGAGGATGCCTCTGTTTGGCAGATATTCCATTGCCAAGTATTTGAGAGAAACAATGGTTTAACTTTAGGAGGTACCTATATTTGTTCCAATTAAATTTTCAGCTTGTTCTCCAGTAGCATTGTTTCTGGAATACAGCATTCTGTTATCTGGTAACTGATGAAAGAGTTTAATTGTGTGAGAACTTATTAATAGAGGACAGGCATGAACATTCACTTCTTGATCTAGCATTATGTTGCTGAATCATTCCAAATGAGTGTAAAGCTGTTTGTAGTGCTACATGGTCATAGAAAACAAGTGTTTCAAATGGTACTGTATATGGTGCTTGGTTAAAAGGACCAAGGTCAGATATATTTTTAAAATGCAGATCTCCTAGCCATCTTACAAATGCATTTGAAGATTAAAACTAATTTTTTAAAAAAGCATTTTTTATTTTGCTGTCTACTTTTTGC